ATATATTTATCGTCCCATCGTGTTTTAAAGCAAAATGGTACACGTTTAAGAAAGTCGAGGAAAAATAAGGGTATGTAATATCCCAAGATATTATCAGTATAAATTACGTTTAATTCCGATATAGTAACATTAGCGTTTGTTATTTTCGGAATTAATTAAGTTCAGTCGGATTACTGAAATCTATTTTCGGCGTTCCGTTTATGTCCGAAATAATTTTGGTAATTAAGTGTTATGTTTAATTAATAATTAAACATCAAGATTAGGGTTAATTAGTAATTAACCCTAATAAAATGCCTAAAGCCGTGGGATTTATAAGGAATATGTCCAAAATTCTCATAAATTGTAATTTCCCTCAAGTGAGGGAAACCAATTTCCTCTTCAAACTTTTGAAGCACGTGGCAAGTGGAGGAAATGATGAGTCATCTCAAGATGCACTAAATTGAAGCAAGTGTTGAGTTTTAAGCTTGGCCACATCACGCCATCATTCCCCCCCATAAGCCTCCGCTCGCCTATGTAAGAATGTAACTTAGGAAATTTTGACCATCTTTCTTACGCATATATTCAGCTGTAGAAGTATCTTTCAGCAGCCCTCACAAGTTAAGCTTATTCCCCCAAATTTCTATTAGAAACGTACGGCAATATAAGTAGCTACCGCACGGCGAGCACGAGCAAGGAAGCACACCCTATTTCCATTTTCCGTCGAGCGTTCCAGGAGGTAATCTCTTGTTCAGTTAATATTCAGAATCATAAGGTCATATTAAGTTGAAGTGTTCGGATAAATCGCCGGAATTTTAGATTAAAACCGTGCCTAAGTTCAAGTATGTTTAAGTGATTTTAACATCGAACAAAGTTCGATTTTCTCCGACAACTTTCGAACCAAAGTCTTTTATATGATCAGTATAGTGTATGTTCAGTTCATCATGATCAAAGTGTTGAGTTAAAATGGAATATGGTCGATGACAAGGCCTAGCCTACGCCCTTGCGCATACCGCGCGTAGTCTCGGGGTAGTCTCGGGCCAAGACCTGTTAGTTCAGCAATATCAGTGTTCAGCCGTGTGAATAGTCCTTAAAATGCTCCAGTTTAATATTCATGCTGAGGTGTTCGGTAGTTGTCAGATGATAAGTGAGATTGGCCGAGGGACG